AGGAAGTATTTTAAACGAGTGTTTTTCTGTTATACTTGAGTAAATTATCTGAATATCTCTTCATTCCGTCAACAATCAAATAAAAAAATGAGAGGCCTACACATGTACAGAAGTGGTTAATATAGACTAGGTGAAAGAGTTTTGTGAAATGTTTTGAAAAAGAGACATGTTGTTTTTAAATGACTTGTACGTCAAATTCGTGCTATTAGTATGGGTCTGGAAAACCAGAGAAGGTAAAAACACAGACGCATCCAGACCAACAGGTGGCGCTAGAAAAATAAGCAGACACTTGAATAATGAAAGGAGGACCTCGATGTGGCTCAACAACACCTTCAGTGCGTTTGAATGAACGTGCGGAGCTGCGAGCCGAGGCTCCGCGGTGCTGAAAGGACAGCTCCTCCGTCCCTCATCTGCAGGTAGGCAGCCTGGACACCATCATAGCTGTAACTGCGTATTCATGGAAAATGCATGATTGACTACATCATTTCTGAAGAAAACAGCAAACATGGAGCAGAGGAAACTGCGATAGTCCTTCATTGTTGCTGCTGTGTGTGGTTATCTAGGGCATCCATTGGCCTAAATAGTGTTTTCATATATGAGCATGAAGAACCATTTTTAGCTTTACTCTGTGGGAGCTCCTTCCTTCCTTCATTTTTTGTTTTGGTTCTCTGTGATTTGCACATCTGTCAATCATGTAAGTTAGTAGATCACAGAAGAAATGATGAGATATTCTTGGTATTCTCAATGGCCCCGTATCCCTAGACCCTACTTTGCAGAGAAATTAGTTTTTTTTTCTCAGCAGCACACTTACAATGTCTTTATTAAAGGAGCAACCAGATCACACAGTTTTTCAAAAGATCTAGTAGGAGATGTGCTACTTTCACACAATTGCTTAATGTAATTGAGTCATCTATTATCTGTGTATTTCCATCAGAACTTTTTTAAGTAATCTGTGAAAGCCATAATAAGAAAATAATTAGTTTTAGTATATTATAAAATAGGCCACTTAACGTTTTTGAATGATTTTGCACTTGTATGATGTTATATATTTCTTGAAAAGTGTAAATGAATGTATTATTTTAGATTTTATTTCTTATAATTGTCAGGGTTAATAGCTCTCAATTGTTAATTAGTCAATAGAGCAAGTTGTTTCCTTTTACCTAAACGAGACAGAATACATTTTGTTACTGCAACATAATCGCTCCACAGAGCTTCGAGCAGTTTTCTAAGACTTTATAATAAACGTCTGTTTCCTCTGTCTTCACTCTCTCACAGATATGTTCACCAGGATGTTGAAACTGAGGCTCCTCAATGCCGTGGCACCTGCCTACTTCTTCATGGCTACAGCAGTCACCTTCATTTTGCACTTCTGCTTCTTCATCCCAACAATCTTCCCAAACGCCGACACATCACTGACGGGGTCTGCAACTCTTCACACAGTTGTTTTCCTTTTCTTGATGGTCAACGCACTGGGAAATTACATAATGACTATTACATATCCTGCTGAGAGTGCCAACGAGATTGTGGTTCCCGTGTGTTCGGCACACTGCTCGGACAAAGTGGACGCACACTACCTCCTCAACGGTCGCCACTTCTGTAAACTGTGTAAGAAGGTTATCCTCAAGAGGGATCACCACTGCTTTTTCACTGGGAACTGCATTGGCAACAAAAACATGCGCTACTTCATCATGTTCTGCATCTACACGTCATGCACTTGTTTGTACTCCTTGGTTCTTGGTGTGGCCTTTCTAACAGTGGAGTACTCCATCTCCTTTGAGAACCCGCTGACCTTCCTCACTCTTCTCCCCCTCTCCACTGGTTACTTCTTCACAGGTGAGTTGTTTAATATATCCAATTAGAGCTGATACTTCAAGATTCAGGCTGACTCCCTGAAAACAATGGTGTTTCTGGACCATTTCAAATATAAAAAAATAACTGTTACATACAACCACCAAAATAGAGTTGGTTCTCCAAAAGACTTACAAAACACAATAACAAGTAAGGACATTCTAAGTCCTGATCTCTGCTAAGCCTCTCTCACAATGTTAAGAAAAGAGAAAACACATTTGCCCTGTTATTGGGATTCCCTCCAAAATGTAATGGATTCTTCGTTGGCCCATGCTACGTCCTTCCACAAAGTTAATCAGAAAAAAGGAATCAGGGTTTTAGTTTTCCGTAATCCTGCTGATAAACAAGCAAACCAAACACAGTCATTTAATGTTAATTTACATTGTATTTATCATCCAAGATTATCAAGAACATTGCCGGACAATGACGTATTCTCTACCTAATTTCGTAGATTGTTTATGTTCGCACCACCAGATACCAGAGCAAATTCCTTGTATGTGTAAACGTACCTGGCAATAAACTTGATTCTGATTCTGAGGAAATGTCCCCCACAGGAACAGTCTCAGGATTGCAGTTGTTCCTGGTGCTGATGCTGTATGTGTGGCTGGGCATCGGGCTGGTCTGTGCGGGCTTCTGTTGCCAGCAGGTGCTGCTGGTGGCCCGGGGGCAGACCTGGTGTCAGATGCAGAGGGGGCAGCTGGTGGAGAACCGCAGCCCCTGGAGATCCAACCTAAAGGATGTGTTTGGAACCCGCTGGATCCTTGGCCTTATCCTACCTGTGCAGACTGCGGAGACGTGCTCTGAAGACACAGATCAGCATAAGCAAGACTGAGTGAAAACCGAACGTCATATCAAAAGCTCTTAATAGGTCACAAGCGGCACAATTTGTAGAAATGCTTTTTTTGGGATCCACGTGGTGAATATAAAATGGATACTTATGACCTTTAAAGTAGTTTGTGAAATAGTAAGCTGTTAGCACACATTCCTTTAAGGACAGGAGCCATATATTGATGTGAATAAGTGCATAGTGTAAGTATATACTTTAAGTAGCTTTCGACAAGGCAATATTAAGACTAATGAGTGGGTCATTTGGGACTTCCAGTAGTTTTAGATGGCTTTGCAGGTGCATGCATTTACAGCTTTGCATTTTGATATCATGCTATTGATTTCAATGCCATGCGCCACGCGGTGCTCTGAGATTACCAGTCATGTGTGTTGTTCTTCCACACTTCCTTGTAGATTAGGATGCTACAATGTGCCATTCAGAAAACTTACAGTAGTTTTCACAACAATCATTTTCTTTGACGTTAAGGGCTAGCAGATAAGGAAACTACAGTATGTGACTAAAGCATAAACTGCCGTGCTAGAAACCATTGTGCTGAAAATAAACCCTCACATGTTGAGCCTGATTTCTACTCAGATGAATGTGACTCAGAGAGTACAGTGAAGCTCCTTCTTTAGAATGAGAAGGGCAAATGTGAAGATGACTACCATATTATTATCCAGGGTATTATTCACAATGTGCCATATATGCTTACAGATGACCCCAAAGATGAGGTATTCACTACACCGCTTACGATAGGGCCCTCTGTATAACAATATTAAGGACTTTCAACTGTTATGCTGCTACTACAGCTTGTGACATATTCCACAACCTGTCAAATATGTTTTGGATATTAATAAATATACTTTTTAGAGCTATTTTGCCTATTAATGTTATATCAATAAAGATATTCAGATCACATCAAGCAGCAGTTCTTTCTTTGTAAACATACACATTCTGAGTGAACACATTGACTGAGAGTACACAGTCTTTCCACAGTATTTTAACAGTTGTATGACATTCATTATAGTGACATTTGCTAAAGAAAAGACAGAACGCTCCTCCAACAAGAACAGTCATGAAAAGTTAATGATTAAATAAGTATTTCTTAGTTTTACAACTGTACTGTACAAGTAAAGAAAACATTGACATAGTAGCATATTGTCACTGAAATAAATAATACAATAACAAACCTTGACTTAAAGGTAGGGTAGGTAAGTTTGAGAAACCGGCTCGAGATCGCTAGAATTTGAAAATACACAACCGGAGAAAATCTGCCACTTCCTTATAGAGCCCCTCCTCCAACACACACGAACGCGCACATGACCAATGAGCTTACACCCTAAGCTGCTCAAGCAAGGATATAAAGTGCAAACATGAATACATTCAAAAAGGCACAGGAATCCGGAAAACATCATATTAAGATCGTTTCATCAGCACAGAATACTCTTTTAAGTGCATCTAAAAAGCTGTCAGTAATCTTATAACTAAAGTGCAAGAGTCAGTAATATGAAACTATTTTGTTGTTGTATTTTGTATTGTGTATTTTTATAGTTTCAATGAATATGTAAGCTTAAGCAGCAGGAATGAAAATGGCAGCAACATAGGCAAAGTTAAGAGAGGATATATGGCTATGCACTTCACCTGCTACAGTTTTAGCTTTTGCTAATTCCTACGTAGCTCTTAAAAGATATATTTTGAAAAAAAGGAATTGCTTAAGAAGTGAACGATAGAAAACTTGTTCTAATGTGCTTGGTTTTTAAGTGTTCACACAGACATAGTATTGATCAGAAACCTTTTTACAAATAAATATAATAACACCAAGTAACAAAAATGTGATGGTTTTTCCAGCCCCTAGACTCTCACTGCGAGCCATCCAGCTGTTGTTTGAGAAGCTTTCTTACAAAGGAGGCCTCTGCTAATTTACTTAGCTCATTAAAAATTGAAATACAGGCCACATGTATCCACACCGGGTTTAAAAATGATGCTAATATTTTCTCTACAGAAATCACATTCAGGGTGAGTATTGGGGGTGGCCCCATGTGCCCGCATATGTGATCTACACATGCATTTTATGCAATTAGGAGTTCAAAAATATAAAGGCCATAGCCCTATTGCAAGTTAAACTTGCTATTTTTGAAATAAATTCATTATAGGCAAGGGTTTGAAATGTAAGCATGCTTCTCAACTCAGTTTAACTCCAAATCAGATCAGTAGTTCTGAACGTTAAGATGATCTGTACTGTTCGGATAAATGCATTAAGAATCTGGTTAAGTTATTGTTTTTTTTATTTAAATGGTATACTGTAGTTACAGTATATTGAGACAGCTTTCATCTTAAATATTTGAGATTCAGGTTTTCATTTTGTGACCTCCTAATAGGTCACAAAATGCTGGTCATGTTCTGCGATATGTATTACGCCAGGACTCTCTGAGCTTTATCCCCACTTTGCTCCTTGTCTGTGTGCTGCACAGAGAGCAGCAGTTTAGTCCAGAGCTGAGGGTCTCTGCTGCCCAGAGTCTCCAGCAGCAGAGCCGTCTGCTCCTGAAGCTGCTGCAGCTGGCCTTGGGTGCGCTTATTCTCCTTCATCAGCTGCTTTGTGCGCAGGGTGATCCCCAGCAAGCCAGATTTGTTGAGAATGTTGTAGGTATTGCTGAAACGCTTCAGTTTGTTACAATCCAATGAGAGTGCGTCTTCCTGGTCCACATCGATTCTGTTACTGTCAGTATCTGTCCTGAATTCATCTGTGTAGGGGAGCAGAGAGTCGGCCCCTGTCAGCAGGGAGAGAGACTCCTGACCCTCGGCTGGCTGTGATTGGTCGTTAGCTGATTCAAAGTTTGAGATGGGTTTGATTGTAGTGTGCGGTGCTGGCTCTGGGATGGGGGAGCTGTGGAGCTTGTGGCCGTGGTGGTGCCTCCTCTGCCGATTCTCATATCCTGACGTTGAACTCACCCTCACCTTGGAGGATCCTATTCTCTTTGTGTGCGTGGCCGCCGGCTGGCGGGCAATTCTTGGATAAGACTTGAGGATGGGCATGTAGCTTTTTGGTTTTTGTATATTTTCAGAGCCAGTCTTTGAGGAGCTGTTGCTGCTGCTGCTGCTGCTAGCATTTGATACCATGGGTTGAAGAAGAACCACCTGTGACTGAGGCATCACTTCCAAGGGAGAAGGAAAGCCCCACTGATTTTCTGCTGGAGCCAGTGGAGATGACTAAAGAGAAAAAACAACTTTAAATATCATGCTATGAGCTATAGCATAATACCAATAATACAGTATTGATTACATACAAGGAGCACATATTCAATAGAAAAAACATTAAAAACAGTGCAACATTCCATTTCCTAAAAAAACTGTCAAATTACAATGTACATAATTTTCACTCACAAAACAAGACATATATTGCTATATTTTACCTGCTGTAAGACAAAGTTATTCATGATGATTAGTGGAGAGAGTCCAGCATAGGAGCCTCCCATCACAGCCATCTGGAGACCTGTCGCATCATGGTTGACTATCGTCCCATTTCTACTTGCATCTTTGGAGTCAGTCAGATCGACTGTACTGAGGTACTCGGAGCTGGCATCTGAAAAGGAGGAGACTAGCATATTAGTCTCGTCATGTATTGTGTAATACAACTGGGGCAGAACATTAGTACTATAAAAACATTGGCAGATAAGCCGCTCTATAGCGTCTGGAAAAAGATACCACAAACATGATGAGTAAGCCTTAATAGTGCAAAGAATCAAATAAAATGTGACCCAATACAGGATGACCTAAATCCCTATATTTTATTAAGGTTGACCTTGTAAATGAATCGATTTTTTTCTAACTCAAGGAAATGCTAATTACATATACAAGTATATCTAGTTTTTAACATATAACATACTAACATCACTACCCTGTCAAAAACATACATCTGGACAAACTTAAAGGTGTATCATTAGTGATTATTTCAAACCTGAGAAGCCTGAATCTCTCTCCAGGTCAGACTTTGATGCTCCAAGGTGTGTTGACCTGGTGGTGGTTGATGTTGTCCTGTGTCTGTCGGGTCTACTGAAACTGCTCATGCTGGTCTTTCTGAAAAAATAGAGAGTGAGAAGGTAACTGACAAGATCTGAGTTCAGGTTATGTCATGGCAAAGACAAGACTACAGGTAGGTTAACAACAAGAACGGACCCCAACTGAGGCTGAAAAAGTGAAGGGACACAGTCATCTTGTAAACATAAAACGGTTTTTTACCACTGCATTACTTTTTAATAATACATGTAGTGTCTTGATGGAAAATAAATAATAGTTGAACTCGGTTGTAGAGGACAGGATGAATTATTCACTCTGTGCTGCTTGCATGAATTATCTACAAATAACTTCTCTACTGACGGGTCAGTGTGCAACATCAATACAATAGCCCTTCTGTAAATAATTATTTTGTGTTTAATGTATTAAATTGTAACATTTAGCAGACCACATTTACAGAGAAAAGCTTATGCAAACGTCTGCAAATAGGGTTTATTTACATTAAACAGGTAAAAATACTTAACCTATTTGATTATTACACATTTTGTGTCAATTTAATGAATTGAGCCAGTTTCCAGAGTTACTCTCCTTTCAACGTTTCCTGAAATGGCTCATAGCAAGTTAAGAGAATACGTCAATGCTGACAGCAAATAGCTTAAACTGGTAGTTTGAACGGCATGTTTATAAGTTGCAGCTAACTGTGTTGTTTGTTGTTGTTTACACAGGCAAATATGAACTTACTAAGGTTACAAAAGTTGGAATGCTTGTTATGGTCATACTGTACACTGGTTAGGTTTAACTCGTTTAGACAGGTACGCTGAAGCCAATAAGTTAACAACAGTATGTGTAATGCAACATCTGCATTGTGAGTTCAGTTAGCTCGGTACCCCACCAGCTTCCATGCAGCTTAGCAACCAGCGCATCACGACTCTGTCAATGAGTTATTTTGAGAAAAGCATTATTTGTTCAAACCTTACCGATACGCCATTTGCTTGATGACAGATAACTGTTTACAATTGTGTCCACGATTAGCTAAGGTTATTTAATGTACTCGACTCTGGTCTGAGATGAGCTTCTACTACTTCTTCTTGGAGGTTTGACGGTAGATGGCATCGTCAGTGTTGCATTACTGCCATCTTCTGGAGTCAAGTGGTTTGTCAGGTTTTTCCATCAATCCTGTAGGCTATTCCTTAGGAAGTTGACCATAGAAGTTGACAGAGAAGCATCTTTAAATTAATCAAACATCTAATGCCTTGTCCACATCCACCATAGGCTACTCCTGTTCAATAACAACTGTACTACAACTGTCACAGAGTGTAGTGATATCCCAAATTCAATCTAGACAATAATGGTCTCCTGCTGCACCAATACGTTTGGAGAAATATGTTTTTTAAATAATGATGCTACAATTTTATTTTGCAAAGTAAGTATAATAACTTCACAGATATACAGTGTACTGCTACCATCATCACTTCACACATCCATTGTCCTGGTATATTACAAAAGGTTAGGACATTTTTATTTTTATGTGAACTTTTCTTATAAACAATTTTCAAAAACGTCCCAATACTTGTGCTTTGGAGCTCTCTTGAACTCTGGCCAACAAATGAACTCAAGTTGTTGGCTATTATTTGTGAAGAGTGTGAAAAGCTTCATGACAATGACAGCAATCGCCTTTTACTTACTATTAGTCATTGGTACCGGTACGATTAGTCTGTATTTAATAAAATAAATCACACAACCCAAACCGACAATCATAACAATTTAATTACAAAATAAATATTTCAATGAGATAAAAATACTCACACAGTAGAAATGTTACTTTGTACATTTTCATATAGATTTTCTTTGTGTAGGTAAGTACATAAACAAAAAATACAAAAGGACATTGTTTTACATGTTTACATCGTTTTACATACTTCAATTGATCTCTTCCTGACTGCAGTGATTGTAAATATAAGGCCTAGGTGCAGCACCCAAGCTGTTTTGGGCACCACCATGCCAAATTAATGTAAAGCCAATGTGGGGAGCATCAAAATTGACTTTTCCAATAACTAATTTTCTGATTTTTGCCCCCATCCTGTTTATATGTAATGTGCTCTAGCTTTTCCACATTTTTGTTCACAGATATGGTCATAACAGTAGTCCAAAATAAATGACATCTTTTAATTGAACAACATTAAATGATTTTGCAGGAAAAAATTTAGAAAAAAAAAATAACTTTCAGTTTTGAACACTGTTTCAATAAACACTAGAGGGAGACATTTCATTATGTCCTGTACAAAGCAGCTTCACAGTCCAACATAATATGCTGCTATGACAAGTCAAGGCGTCATGGATAATGTTTGAACCAAAGACGGTTGATAGTCAAATTATATTCAGCTGTATCAATAAATATAGAATCAAAACAAATGTAACCAACTTCAAATACCAAAGAAAGGACCAAATTACAATAACGGGTACAGTAATAACTAGTGTAAAATAAAAGATTGTCTGTTTGGTTCTACATTGCACTGGCTCCCAGGGATGTCCATTGTGTCCGTTGTGTAACAGCAGTGATTCCACCAATCAAAACACACTTCCGACTGAAGCTTGTCATTAAAACACTCGGGCCATCGTCAGGATGGCATGTCAGCAAAACAACCCAGCTGTTAGAGTCTCTGGCTGCAGAGTCAGACACAGTATTGATAGATAAGCGAGGGAGACTCTTGATGTTGATACTGGGTTAGAAATAAATAGCGAGCCACACCGCAAATGGGGTTGGGTCGCCACTGCAGTTACCTGCGAGGGTTCTGGCAACTGAAAAAAACACAAGAAAGAATAAGGCATTTTTATTGCAATTCATTTAAAGTTAGGGGTTGTATGAATTTATTTTAATGCGCCATCACCTGTCACACTCTTTTGGTTTTGCTTTTTGTTTCTCTTTTCTCTTCCTTCCTCGTCCTCGTTGCCTTTTCCTGCAATGTGAACAAAATTACCACCAAGCCTCCATTCTCTCAAATGGAAAACTATTATTCTTTAAAAAAATCTAGAAATTCTGTAGGAAATGATTTATGTTCTTACCTTTCAACTTTCACAATAGGTTTCTTGACTCTGAAAACAAATCAATAAATTTGAAAGAACAGCCAGCTGCAATTCTTTGATAATTATTGTTAGTATTAAAAACCTTGTCTCCTAGAAATTACATTTAAGTGTGCTACTTACAGTATTAGTTTGAACAAATATGTTTTGTTATTAACATAAAGTAACTGATATGGCACTACTTTGCTGTTGTCAATTAGCAGAATGTAATTTCTAGAAGACAGGGTAAGTGTTTGTGTACTTATATATATTTATGTCAAAAATAATGACTTGTTTTCTTACCTACATTCACATGTCTGATGCTCCACAAACGTCATCTCAACATATTCTTGACCGGGCTCTGATGGCCTGATTTTCAACAGCTGAAGGATAAAATCATTTAAGATTACCAAAAAAAGCAAACATCTTTCCTACAGTAATGGACGTTTAAGAATAATGATTACATAGCACCATGCCCTGCTTGTATTACCTGCATGGTGACGTTTGTGGTGAGGGTCGCATGGCACTCCAGGTTTTCATCCCCGCAGCAACCTGCACACCTCACAAGCGGCACACAGGCGGGGCTGTAGATGTGCTCCACCTCTGTCGGGTACTCCTGCACCACCTCCACCAGCTTCTCAATGGTCCGGCAGAAGCTGCGACCCCACACTTCTTGAAACATCAACACTATGGATGAGAGTGGGAGGCTGAGCATCAACCATTTTACTGTTACAAAGACGTCGGCTTGTGTCGTTTCTTGCCTCAAGAGACACATTATTTATATTGTCTGTCCATGTTTCTTGCTTCTGTTCACAGTGCACACCAAACTGCACTGTTACACAAACAGTATCAGTAATTAACTTAGTAATCCAACAATGACAACCTTATACATGCACACCGAAACATAAAACCAGTTGCAATACGCCAGTGTATATCCTGTTTTCATTTTTAAGTCAAAATGTTTGTGTAATGTACAGTACGCTTTCCTGTGGGAGTATATGTGTGAAAGTGTCCCAGTTGCGCAGTCTGGTGTGGGGGGGGGGGGGGGAACAGGGATGACTACGGCCGAACAAACAGAGAAGCAAGAGAAAACAAACATTGGAAACACGGTCATGAACAGAACCCGGCTGGATCTGGAGCTGGGCCGCCCTGCAGGCACCTCAGGGACGGCAGTGAACCTCGGGGTCACCCAATGGAGCCTGACACCACAACAGCTGTTTATAAAAGCAGACAGTCTGGGAGGAGATGGCTGGAGAAGCATGTACGGCAGGAAGAGGAGGCCACAAACTATAATGCTGTACAGCGCAAAAGGCCACGTTACTTGCCAAGTGCAGCTGATATTTGCCATTCTATTGCCACAAATGTTCTGCCTAGTCCTCTGGCTGCAGTTCTTACAGTCAGTGTATTTTTCTATGAGCTACATTCATTTATAGTGATCCGAGGAAGGAAGTGAATATGAGAAGGTAAGCAGTGGAGCAATCCCTGCTAGTCCCAACATGTCCTACCATTATCTAAATTCAGTAAATATAGGTATTATTTCCAAGCTGGCATCCATCCGTTTGGTTTGCATCAGGCTATTGTTCCTTCTCCGTCTGCTTTACAAATATGGTTTGACAAAACAGTTTACTGTTTCAACTCAGGTCAGCACAGGAAGAGCTGAAAGAGCCTATCAGTGCCCAAGTCTGCTTAATCTGATATAATTCAATGCATACATTGAAGGGATTTTACCTGTTTACAAGATTACAAATGAACAAAACATTTATTGATTTTATGGATTTGAATCTCTTGCTGTAGAATATTGCATTAAAAAAAGCACCCCAACAAATATTACAGAAAGAAAACTAGGAGACATTCTTACCTTCAGTAGTATTGTGTATGACGGGCTGGGGAAGACTCTGCGAAACAGAAACGAATGTTGGTTATTCATTCAGGTTTGCTGTGTCTCAATTGTATAGTGTTACTGTTTACAACCTTATTCTTGAAAATGCAATGCATACAAAATATCATGGACATAAAAACACCAAAGCCTGCAGGCTGCAGTGTCACCAATACCAGACACTCAACTATCTTTGTTCTCTAGTGGTTACAGCTGGAACTGCAGTGAAAGACAGGAGATGATCACACACCCTTTGTTCCCCCCTGCAGGGGAAAAGCCTTTCTGACAGGCAGCAAATCCAGTCTCTCATATATATCACGTTCCTCTGTGTGCCCAACTGTTTAGGTTCAAAACCGGTTTCCTGTGGTGTAAGATTCATCTCTCTATTTATTTTCCCATTGATGGTTTCCCCCTCCGTCTTGATTTTTCCCATCATCCCATGATAAACAGAGTGCATTTCTCATTGGCCTGGGAAAACACAAAACCTCTGGTTGACTCCATCGCAGGAAGGGAAACGTACGTCGCATTAAAATACCCTCCAGCAGAAGAGCCGGCGACAGACAACCTGCTTCCGCAATCTGTCCTCATCAATGCTGCTGCGTTTGAGTTTTCGTATCACACACACACACACACACACACACACACACACACACACACACACACACACACACACACACACACACACACACACACACACACACACACACACACACACACACACACACGCACACCTGATGACATTTATACTGTTACACTGTCTGCTCTGATTAAATGACAATGTGACATATAACAACACACAGACAGACAAGGAACTTCCCAAATGATTCCAATAACGGCTGCTGTTTTAAACCATCTGTCTGTTGTTAAAACATTACATTACATTGCATTTAGCTGACGCTTTTATCCAAAGCGACTTACAATAAGTACATTCGACCAGGAAGATACAAACTTGAAGAAAACAGAATCATATAAGTACATCAGGTTTCATAGAACACATGCATATTGTTTCCTGTTATGTACTAAAATGTATTTGAGGGTGAGGATAGCATCTGTCAGCAGCAGCGCAGTGCTTCACTCTTTTTCTCCAAAGATTCTGATTACTGTAATGAGGAATGTGCTACTTTGACGATGATAATGATGATGATGCATTGCCACCATTTGACACTCACAGTAAACCTTTCTGAGGTTGTGGTGAATCTGTCACAATAGATAAGTGGCAGGAAAGGCTTCATATTTGGGACACATCTGTCCTCTCTGCAACAGAACGCACTGTACAAAAGACTTCAGACCAGCTTCCAGTAAAACCACTTCAGTCCTCCCTGTTTATTTCAAAGTGGCTGGTTGTCTGGCTACAGACAACATGTACAGCTGTTCCTGTGACAGAAGAGCATGTTCTCTATAGAGTGGCGTTCATCGAACTGTGTCGGCTTTACAACAACACCACAGGATATAGGCTCAGCTAGCCGAGTCAGCTTCATTCGCAGCATGGGAAAGTCACAGTTCAGTTCAAGTTATTGTTAAAAAGTCACTTCCACTCCCGCGGACATTGATTATTTTTTTCACCCTCTCTAGTAATGCCAAACTTAACAAATAAATCCTTTTCTAGTGTTAACTTGAATTTGATTTGTACTCTCTTTTTTTTTATTGCTGCACATCACAAGGGCTTCTTGGCTCTTGCTCCTGAGTTGCCGTTCAGAATTTGGCGAGGTTGGGAGGATTTTCTGACCTCGGTCATGGGTTAAGACCGTTAAGACTTGACATGGTGAGGAAGCATCTCTGGCACCTTCTGCGGTTCAGAAGAGAGGAGTGATCTGCCCATAAGAAGCTGCCAGATTATGAAAGGCTGCATGAAGATCCTCACGTAGCCATTCCTACCTCCTCATGCACTTACAGTAATTATTGTTTGTGATTTATGGTGACTGTGAGGTAATTTAGCTCTGGTGGGAAGGGAGAACCACTTTACATCAATAACTGTGTATAAAGTTGTCTAATACATCTCAGAATCAGCATTGCTTCCTAAGTAGGTCTCAAGGTTTGTTTCACTTCATTTCATGATGACCTCTGTTAAGGAGTTTTTGCATAACATTGCTGTTTGTCATTTCATTTATTATTTTCATAATTTAGGTGTTAAGTGCTATGAGACCTCTGATTAATGGGAATACAAACACAATTGACCTGACCTGACTATAAACTCTCCTACACTGGGTTTTATTATGATATACCTCTACTCTGTATGAAGAACATCTGGGATTTGGGAAATACAAAAATCTGCTTTAAAGTGATAAAAAAAAAGTATATTTCATCCTAAAATAAGACAGCAAAAAAGGAATGGATTCATTTGTATCCTTACAGAAGACGAAACATATCCCACCCACTGCGCTAAGTTTTGCAGGCTTGATTTCCTTACCAAGTCTATTGTTAGTATTAGAATAAACAATAAGGGCTGGGCAGTAGACACAACACCTTTAGCCAGAAGGCCCTTGCTCAAAGTTTATGTTCTCTTTTACAGCAGAGATTATACTTTTCACTCAGACTCAGGGTGTATGGGGTGGATCAGAGGGTAAGGTTCATTTCTACTGGGTTTTACATTTTGAACGAATAAGCAAAGTCAGGTATAGTATGCTCGCATGGTTTGGTATTCTCTGTCTACATTTAACATCTAAACTGGCTTAGCATGTGTATAAACAGTCTGACATGAAGGTGAGTAGAGAAATTAGTCCCTCCAGTCAATATATGAGCAGTCTGTTCTCAGGCGAGCACAGAGAATATCGCTTACTTTTTGGCAGACGATTACCCTAATGATAAAAAACTCATTTGTGCCTACCTCAGTAAACATTGTTTAAAAATGTTGCTTGAGGCTGCAAAGGTTATACAATAGCTTCATTTGATAGTGATTGTGAAATACATTGATGATATAAGGAGGGATTGTGCCATATGTTGCTTGTTATATCACTGGTTGTGTATATGTGTAATAATAATATTCACAATGGTAATGTACTTTATGAGTTGCTTTCATTGTGTTGTGATATTTTTGATCAGGCACAGCGCGCCTAGCAGTTAATGGTTTGGTGTCTTGCTCAAGGAGTATATTGTATTGTATCGTAAATCAATAAACAGTATATTTACAATGAAAAGTCTTGAGAGAACGCTAAAGTAAGCACAGACTAAAACATTCATTTTCAGTTGGTGGGTTATATAACTGAGGGATCATTTAGTTTCAAATTAAATATGAACATAATAATAACAATAATGTTACCCATTAGTAGTATATTTTTGCAATTCATAATATGACAAGGCAATCGCGTATTGCATATCTAGATGTCATTGTCTCATATTTTCAGTAGAAGCTATGCCAGTAGCCGTTCTCATTGGATAATTAACGTGTTGGTATACGTAATCAGGGTCATGATCCCCCAGCCCACTGTGGTCTCAGAGATGTACAAGTTGTTTTCAGCCTTTAACATCTGCTTCTCAGAGACCTTCTGCTAAGCTGCACAATGTATTCTGTGCCCAGATTGTGTTGCAGAGTGAGGGGCAGTTATTTTTCAGCAAGAGAGGTCAGATGAAATCATCTATTGCAGTGTGTAATGATTGCAAAGCCGCTTTAAAATATCCTATGTTTCTGGAGTCTCTAGTGAAAGTTTGTAAGCTGCTGGCTGGGAGTTTGCTCCGTCCCTGGGTCAGATCAGAGGACCTGTTGTGTCCCTGGGCTCCGGCTGTCAGGCCACAGAGGCTCCGGGCCTCATTACTCTCCACTCCCACACAGCTGAACTGCGTCATCTTTAACCTCTTTGCTTAACTCCATCTGTCAGAGGAAGGGCAACATGCGTAGGGAGCAAAAACAAAACATGATGGGGATCCAGAATAATGGTCATAAAAGATTTTTCAAAACTAAGGTTCAAGCTGGGGAGGAGGGAGTGAAGGCCAGTTCCACAGCAGGTACTCTGGACACTAGCCAAAAAGATCTGGATAGCAGCCAGCATACTTCACAGTTTGTTTCCTAAAGAAAACAGAGACGACTTACAGATGAAGTAGAAACTAAATATAAATCAAATGCACATTTGAGTCTTTGCCATTTTAGCCTAAAAAGATGGGACACTGCAATAACAAATTACGCAGAACTGGATTAAGTCATCCAAGATTCTCTCTTTCATTCGATTCCAAAACAAGAACAGTATAGATGAGCATTGTTTTCTTTCAAAGAACATTTCAAATGAAGGGTATTCTAAGCAGCCAGAGTATTTCGAGTTAATGGAAAATGTATTGTTTTATCGCATTAAAAAATAAATGTTAAAGTGGATTCAAGATTAAATATGAAAGATTGAAAGGCTTTATTGTCATATGGACATTAGCTAAAGTGCAGAAATGGCAATGAAAGTCCCAGGGTCCTCCAACATTGCAACATAGTTATTATGGATAATTATAAAATATGCTAATTTAGGTTTGACATGGTGATGCTTGCTGGGAAACAACTCTTGTGGCTGAAACAATGTCCAAATGTTTAGACTGTGGTGTATTTCCATCCAATAAAACCAACAATGTTCGTCTAGCAGTTCTTTCACAGTTTGCACATTTCAGCTGAAAGCAGCTTATACAAGAACTTCCCCATATTTGGTGTACTTTGTGGAAAAGTGGGATTACAGTTCCAAATCCTTAGTAATAGAGAAAATAAATGTTTGACCATGGACACAAATGGTAAAGGGGTATTACAAAGGTGTAAACTGACGCTATTTCATCTGTGTATTAGTGAGTGATTATATATGTGTAATCCTCTAACAAGTCTCCTTCAACATTTGCGACAAACTAAAAAAGTTTGAACTTCGATAAATTCCAAACTTCCAAACTGACTGACGATTGGGGTGCTATTTACTGAACCTGGTTTAATTTGGACTGAGTTTTTTTTCTTCAATCCTTCTTAACTTAAGTAAGCAATGATCCCAGCTAGATTGGGCATCATGCCATTATTTATACTGCTTTACTTAACTTTATTCAGTGAGGGTGGCAGTGTGGATAAACAGA